AGTAGCCAGATAAGCAGTCTACCTCTAACTGGGGTAGTGCAGCAGGTCACACTTAGGTACCAATAAGGTGGCCAGGTGATGCTAGACTTAGTTATTAGGAAAATTCTATATAGTTATTGTATATAGTTGCAAGAATCTTAATAAAGTACTAGCATGGCAGCTTAAGAACAAAAAAAAAAAAAAGATCAATAAATAGAAAAAAAATAAAGAAATAATGAGTAAAATAAAAAGAAAAAAAAAAACAAGCAAAGCACTAAGTAAAAAAAGAAAACCAAATCAGCAAGTAATAGAAGAAAAAAAAAAAAAGTAAAAAAAAAGAAAAACAAATCAGAAACAATTTTAAAGCTTGTTATGTAGGGTAGAAGATCTTTTCATTATGAACTTTAAGTAGATAGATGAGCAGCTTACTTTTGCTTGAAATAATGCAGCAGGTTGCACTTAAGTACTATTAGGGTGGCCAGGTGATGTTGAGCTTAGTTGTTAAGGATATTTATAATTACAAATGTAATTTCAAAATCTTAATAAAGCACTAGCATAACTGCTTAAGGAAAAATATATATATATATATATAATTATATATTTTTTAAATTAATATATTAATTTTTAAAACTTGTATATGCTGTGAACATTTTTGAACATTTGGATGTTAAATATAATCAAAAAAAATCTTGAATATAGTAAACATGACAATATTGCCTAAGACTAGTATAATCTGTAATACAATATAAAGCTTGTATTATTTTTGGTAAAAATAGAATAAAGTATATACAAAATTATATAATTTAGAATGAATACAAATTTGTAATTATTTGTTTTGTATTAATTAATTAAAAACTTAAAAAGAAATAATTGTAAAATAATTATTAATTGATTAAATCAGTAAAATAAAGTATTTTAAAACATGTTTAAGATCCAAATTAGAGGTTGGAACTGGTTTTATTTTTATCAACCAGTTTTATTAACTTTTTAAAAATTGCAACTAAATATAAATTGGTTATAATATATCTGATTAAATTCTATTAACCAGGTATAATAATCTGGTTAAATCTGATTAATCAGTTATAATAATCTGGTTAAATCTGATTAATCAGTTATAATATAACTGATTAATCAAATTTAACTGAATTATTATAACCAATCAATTGGATTTAATTGAAGGATCATATTTGGCTAAATTCAATTAATAGGTTAATTACTAAGCTGTTTTCTTAAATTCTGGATCAGTTAAAAACACAAACTGAAATTCAAAAAGGAAACTGCAATAATATTATTTGAATTCAGTTTGCACCTCTAATTCTGGATCAAATAAAAAATTCACTGAATGAGTTTAGTATGATTCATATATAAAATGATGTAGGTTTTTTAATATATAATGACTGATTATAAAGAGTATTAAAAGATTAACACATTAAGTTTTCTTTTAATTATATGTTCAATATGTTTTGTGTATTTAGTCTATATGAAAATTATAGTGAAAACAGTTCTTTCCAACTAACATAAAAAGGTTTGTAATATACTGTAAAATAAGAAATTAATATAAAAAAAATGATATTATTAAAAATTTATTAACAAGGTCAAAATATATATATATATATAAACACAAATTATAATTTAAATATTTACCAAAACTATGTTGATAATTATAATCAATGAAATTAAAGCAAAAAAATTTGTATATTAAATTATTTATTTAAAAGCTTTACTTATAAAATCCAGATCAAAAAGAAAATTGGCATAAATTAGATAAAAGCATTGAATGATAGATTTAAAACCAAGGGCCTTTGAATTGTTTATCTATAATAAATACTTTTAAAATGCTTAGTTAGTCTAAAGTACTGCAGCTAATCTGAAATATCCAACTTGTCAACAATTTTTCACTAATATGCATTGAAAATGTAATATACATCTGTATATTATAAGACTTTTATAGCTGTTCTCATAAATTTTAGGACACTTGGCAAAAAATTGGCTGAATGATTATTTGACTGATCCAATTTAGTTTGGTTAATTACCAGAGATTAAAGTCAATTAGAGCTTTATTACGTTACAAGGCTCTAATTTGAACTACAAATTGGATTTCTATGTATTGAGAGGTAGTAAAACTAAACACTTCTGCTAAAAAACTTAGAACCTTTCAAACTCTAAGAATTAGTTTTATTTCTTAGACAAAAGGTTTTATAGCTTCTACATTGTTATTGAGTAAATTATAAATTTTTGGCTTTGTTAACTTATTTACTTAATTCCTTTAGTTTATCTTATTTATTTAATTCAATTAATGCAGTGAATTAATTGGATTTTGTGCTACTTTTTACAATGGTAATAATTTCTACTTACCTACAAATACCCAATACATATACTAATATTTACTAAATTCTATTGCTATGTAGTGCTTTATTAAAAGAAAAAACAATATAAAAAAAAGAAAAAAAACACAAAAAAAACTGAAAAATTAGAGTAATCTTGAGCCCTTTACAAAGAACATATGCTTACATGCTAACTTAAAATTATACATACTGATACTTTGGTTTTACTTAAAAAAAAAAAAAAAACTAAAAATAGAAATAAAAAAAAGATCAAACATTACTACAGAACCTTCTACATATGGCTATAAGATTAAATTTGAAAAGAGAGAATCCCTTTTAAGATTATTAATAAATTCTATTATAATTTTCTGATTTTCATACTCTTAAGTAATTAATTGGCATCTAAAACCTAAGATATTATTCTTGTGGCAAAAACAAATCAAAATAAATTCTATTGCATTTTAAAAATAAAACCTTATTTACTAAGTCAAAAGATAAATGTGTTTGTTTTGCCGAAATGTGGTTACTGGTGTCAGAAAATAATCTCTTGCTCAGTACAGAAGTAGCCAGGATAGAAAGATACTTGTGTGCTAATTGAGTCAAAATAGAAAAGCTATTTTTGTTTTTCAAACACCATTCTAGAAGATCATCATTAATCTTGATTTCTTAAAACTTTACATAACATGTTATTTTATTATCTTTTTCCATGTTTGTTTGTGCAGAATCTGCTTCTAAATCTTGAAAAAAATCATCATTATTGCTATAACTTCTATTTACCAAGCCTTTTTCAATGTTATCTGAAATTGTGAGACTTATCTTCAACTCCTCATATAAGTTTTTTACTAAGTTTTTTGCTTTGTTTCATTCAGTACTTGTTGCCCACTTAAAATGTTTAAAACTTGGATTAAGAAATGTGACAACTAAAGTATTATCTGATGGAATTGACCATAACTCATCCATTAACAAATAAATAGCAGCCTGAACTCTATTAAGCAAGCTGGCAGTAGAAACTAGTAGTAGATACTCTACTTTGTCTATATCTTTCAAATCTTCATTATTGGATCGTCTTGGCAGTCTTCTATTTTGTTCGCAACTATGACTATGAGCAACCATCCTTTAGTGAAATTGTCTGTATGCATATTGCCATTGTTGATGGGTACTAGCAGCTGGGATATTATCATCACTTGTTTTATCACTCTTATTATCATCATTTTCTGCTTCTCCATAAATAAGGTTCAAATAGGTATCTACTGTCTCATCTGTTTCTGGTGCAAATCTCTTCTTAAGTATTTTCATATATAGATAAACAAGATTAAGAGTTGGGTACTTAGCACCACATAAACATCGAGTTACTTTTTCAATCAGTTCTAGAATTTTAACATATCTTGCAAATATCTGTAATAAAAAAAAAAAAAAAAAAAATTTAATTCTTGTAAAATAAAGATTGCCAAAAAGAAAGATAAATATGATTATAATGGAATCTAAAATAATATAGGATTGAGGTTTAAAAATACTAATTTAAAGATATAATTATAAAAGGCTTTAATATAAATTCTATACTATCGTGCAGTGCTACTAGTAATGTGCCACATACTGTACGCTAAAATTTTGACAATCATTTTATAAGCTCTGAAGTTTAGGCTACAAAACTTATAAATGCCTAAATATTTTAAAATGATTATAGAATATTATAAAATTACAACATAAAAAACTTTTACCTATACATACTATATATTTACTGTATATACTGTATATACTGTATATTAAAAAATCTGAGAACCATATAAATGGCATATTACTAAGCACTACACACAGTACTGTGAGGTTACTATATAAAGAGAAATACTGTTCAAGGTGTATATTGAAAAAAGTTAGTTATATAATTGTATTATTGATTCGAGCTACTTAATTAGTATCAGGATATTGTTCAAAATTTTAGAATTAGATAGTATCTTAGTACTATTTAATGAAATAAGCAAAAGTAATTAAATAAACAAATTTAAATAAAATTTAATTACTCTTTTTCACTAACTGATAAACATAATCTTTTTAGTTTTTCACACTCTTTTTGGGAGGCATGATCTGTTTTGGCAAGTAAAGAAGTTAAGTCAAATCACATTCCATTATACAATTCTAAAATGTGTTTTCAGGCCAGATAAGTAGAGTTCCATCTTGTTTTTACATCTGTTAAAACATCAAGGGGATTTGCAACAGTATTTTGATTATCTTCACTTATATTAAATTCACATTGTGCTTTTTGTAAATGTTGTGCCTGTTTAGGGAGTCAAAAAAAGGCCTGTAAGCTTTTAACATGATGATGAATAGATTTACATTGTTTTAATTCTTCTTTGACTGATAGTTGTAACATGTGGGCAGCACAGAGTTGATGCACTATGTTGTTAAAGTAGTTTTCATATAATAAATTTATTTCTTTAACAATGTTAGCACTATTATCTGTAGCTATAGCAAAAACTATTGCCTCAAGTTGCCATTTATAAATTATATAAAGTAATTCTTTGCTAATTGTTTCTTCTATATGCGGATGTGCAAGATGATCACAAGAGAGCAATGCTTCTTGAAATTTTAAATCTGATGATAGCCAAGTTACTGTAATACCTAAATAACTATGATGGGACTTTGCTGTCTACAAGTTTGTAGACAAGTAAACAGCTATTGCACTACTACCAAGTAAAGATCTTAATTGATCATGAGTCCAATCATATGCTTTATAAATCAAGCTCTTGGCAGTTTTGTTACATGGCATTTGAAATCCAGACATACAGGTATAAATTAACTCATAAAAAGATTCATCTTGTAAAATGTAAAGAGGCTCAACAAACTGAATAATAAATTGAATTAATTTTCTTGCTATTAGTTATTGCATATATGGTGAACATGGTAGTACTACATGGTTAAAATAATTAGTAACTTTGGTTTGATCACATTTTGGCTAATATGTAAGGTAATAAATTTTTTTATATTAACAAGTTAATTTAATTTATGATCAAAATTAAAAAATTTAACTTGCTGAATAGCATAATTCGAATGCTATTCAGCAAGTTGAATTTTTTTTTTTAATTTAACTAACATTAATAATATCATGCTTTATTATGTTCATCCAAATAATCAGTATAATTGTCTTTAATTATATTGTGCTTATCATATAAGTGGGCTATTATATTTGAAGTGTTACTGCCTTTATGAGTATATAGGTAGGGCTTTTGCTGACTCCCAACAAGGTTAAGTTCATATATTTTACAGTAAGCAAAGTTAGGGTTATTTTTGTTTATATGAAAAAAGGTCGTATGACTTTTATTACTATAGTTAATTCTAATGTTAGACTTTTATTTTTTTTGACTTTTAGTTGATGCAGTTGATATAGCTGATGTTGTGGTAATGGATTCTTCAGTATCTGAAAATGAAGGTAAAGACATTTTTTTTCAATTTATGAAATTTAAATTTATTATTATAAAGTTTTGTTTATTCTCTATAATAATTATTAGCTTTTTTTATATGCATTAAGGCTATTAGAATTATATAGATTATGAGATTTCTACATTAATATTGCATCAAGAAATTTTTATATTTGTATATATGGCACAAGAAACTTAGACCTTAATTCCTTTGTGTAGAAATAATATTCCATAGAACTGCTTTTACTAATTATCTGCCCTATTTTATGAAATTGTTCTCATTAATAACTTGTTATATTCTATAGAATTGTTCTTATTGATACTTACTATTGGCAAATTTATTTTATTTTCAATACAGTAAAATTCTTATTGGTGCATTATTTCTATTTAAAACTTTAAGGTTTTAGATTTTTCATACTGCATATTTTTTCTACTTCCGTAAATGGGTATATACAAGATTCTGCTAGATGTAATATGCAGAAAAATTTCAAAGCATACACAATTTGCACTTATAAGAAATAATTAGGTTTTTCAAAAAAAAACTAGAATTAGATTGATATTCACACCTGGTATGTTATATTATTATTAACCTTGGTATATGTGGTTTTACATGCTATAAACAAAAGCCTAAATTATTCATATTTGATATGATTATAATGGATAATTGAGAATAATATCAAAAGCAAATTGGTAGCAAAGTAACAACATTAGTGTCACATTTATATTACTAAGTATAAAGTGTGACTTTAATGTATACTATAGTACTTAATATATACGCTAGTATGTTTATATGAAAGATCATTAGGCATAAAGCTATGCTATACATATGTGTGTTGTGTGTATCAATTCCAAGTAGTCAAATATGTTTAACTTTTCAGCTTATCAGTGCAGTGTATTTTCAATTCAAAAATTTTTTTAGATGATTATGCTAAGAATAGAAATATGCATATCGAAGTATCATATAAGCCAAAAACAAGCTTTATAGTTTTTTAAGATTATATGTAAAATATAACCTTTAACTGATCCTTTTTATTTATATATAAAATAATTTAATCAAAACTAAGTTTCATGCATGCAAGTTGCAATAAATAGCATAAGATAAATAAAATGCTACTAAGAAAAAATCTGTTATCAGATGTACTTACATTTTGTTTACTGGACACAATTACTAATAAATCAAATGGATTTAGTCTGGTACAGAATACACATATAATTGAAAGCCTAATTGCAGGTTTTTCTTTATAGCACTCGAATGATCATCTAATCATTTAAATAAAACCAGTTATAATAAAACTGATAAATTGATTAAAGGCAGTTATAATAAAACTAATTTATCAGATTAAAAAAGTTCTAATCTGGTTATAATTTATAACTAGTTATACTCGGTTATAAATTCAATTATGATAACTGGTTCTAATCTCTATTTACAACTTCTAATATTACTAATCCAACTGGAATTACAGACAGTGATCAGTATATTATTTATACTAATCTTCAAATACAAATCAAATCAGCCAAATGACACAAAAAATACAAATATAAAATGTTTAAATATGACTCTATAACCAATGAACTATGGGAGCAGTTTAGCAGAAAAGACATCAACTTTTATTTTCTCTCACTAAAGTAGCAGCCTCTGCACTTACAACAAATTAACTTTGGCACTAAATCCAATCCATAGTGCTTACTGCAGCAAACATACATATAACCTTTACCTTTCACTCTCAAAAACAATTTCAAAACTTCTCATCTACTACCTCAAAAAACATACTGCACTAAACATCTGTAACAGCATACTCCAAACTCTTATAAACCTCAAACATACTCCTAATAATAATAATTTAACTAATATTGCAACTATTAATAACATCAATCAAAAAATACAAACTATATAACTCTTAACAAACCTAATCATTACACCTTTCACCATGATCAATATTAACTCTAATCAACTCTCTGCTATTATTAATGCAATAAAAAATCATTATAAAACACTATATTATACTCGTGATTTAGAAAACAAACAGGCAATCTTATAACAAATTGAGCAACACATTCAAACATGCACAACAATTTTACTTCAAATACAACAACTATGATTAATAGTATAATTAACTGCCATACTAATCCAGTTTTATTTAATAATTAGGACTCTATAATTACAAAGCCAAAAGAGATTTGTCAACACATCAAAAACTATTTTGCAAACTGGACCAAACATAATCTACACAACCCAACTCTCTGAGAATAATGGAAAAATGAATACAATTCCAAAACTAACATACTCCCCTTATGGTACAACACACTAATAAACCCTATAATCCAACAGAAAATAATCAATACAATCAACTTAGTACTAAACAAAAAAGCAACAAGACTAACACTTATTTCTAATAAAATGCTTAAACACATTCATTCTTATATCATCAAGGTTCTTACAATTTTGTTTAACAAGTGTTTAAATACCACAGAAATACCAACAGCCTAGAAACAAAGCAAAATATATCCAATTTCTAAAAAACCCATTTTTACAGATCAACTTAACTACATGAGACCTATTGCTCTTCTTAAGCATATACAAAAAATATTTACAAAAATCATCAACAACAGACTTATTCAAATAATGCCAAATATCCTATTCATGATCCACATAACTTTGTTGCTTTACCATACTTCTCTACTACACAACCCATACAAATTCTTACAAACATACTTCAAGAAACACATATATAAAATAAAGAAATCTGGCTTTTAGCTTAGAAAATAAGTAAAGCATATGATTCTGTACACATTCCACTTCTTCAACATGCACTAAATTGTATAAAAATTCCTCACAACATATCTTAACTTATAACAAACATTCACAGCAATTGCTACAACTCAGTTATCACAAATCTTGGTCCTATACCTAGCTACCATGTTCAAAATAGTATAGACCAAGGAGAGACTATTACACCTTTGCTCTGGTGTATCTATTATAACTCTTTAATTACCTATATTCACTCCAAATTTCATGGATATAATATGTCAACAACATTCTCTTCTACCAAACAACTACTTACATATTATATCTCAGTTCTTGCCTATATAGATGATATTTTATGGCTAGCTCCTGACAAACAATCTTTGCAACAAATTGTTACAACAGCTAAATTCTTTTACAACATGGCTAATATTACAGTTAACACTACAAAATTAATCCTCCAACAAATTAGACTGAAGATCTGAATCCTACAATTAACTTTGTAAGCACAACTATATATACTATACCTTTAAAACAAATCCTTCAATATCTAGACTGCTGGTTTATACTCTTGAATCATCACAAACACATTTAAAACCAAATTACTATTGAAGTTACAAATCTGACTAATATTATAAAAAACAAAAAGATTACTAAAAAGCAAACAATTTATATAGTTAACATGATACATGTATTCACTTCTTATACAGAACTATGAACACATTCATGCACCAATCCACTATGCAAGGCATAACTAACTTATACATACAAGTGGTAAAACACAAAGCTGGACTTGCCTTAACAATATCAAACTTTACTATATTTATTACTTAATTTACAACTGCTGTAGCTTAACTAATATTTAAATACAAAACCATATTTCATTACTTTATATACAACTAAACAACCCTTTAACAGCTTTATCAATCAAAATTATTATCTAACATCTTCAAAATGCTACACTTTCATTTAACAGTATTTTACTTACTTCTAACTATATACTACTTAACAAATTTTACAATACACTTACAGCCCAAACTATTTAAACAGCACATTAGCTTAACATTAATATAGATAACCTTTCCAACTTCTAGCCCATACCAACTATATACAAAGGCATTCTAATCAATAAACTAATTAAATTTTGCAACAAACCAACACATATTAAATCATTAACTAATAAAGCAAACATCTATGCTATTAAACAACTTATTAATTACACAAATACACAACTAGTTCCATGATAATGCATTGTATATAAAACACTTAAGATACCTAGAGGTAGAGCTCCAAAATGGTTTCTTGAATTATATAATACCTTCTATGCATCTACAACACCATTTATTCCTACTATTATCCTCAACCTATTTACTACAAATTCTATTATACTAAAAACAAGCACCTGGGTTCTAGAAAAAACTAACAACATTCAGATTATAGGCAAAATACAAAAAACCATTCACACAAGCAATACAATATACATTAAACACTATTACTTACCACCACCAGAGCTTCAATATATAGCCCCACTATCTAAATATTGAACTGCAAAAACACTATTACTACTACTAATTAGCAATGTATAATAATGCTTAAAACATCTCAGTGTACTGCTATCAAAGTGTTTAGCTCAAAATTTCTCTATACAGACATCCATAACCTAGCACAACATTATCTATATCTTACAATATAAATATTATCATAGTGTCAACATAAAATACCAACTTCATATTCTACTATTGCTTCAACTAACAAACATAACTCTCAACTATCAGTTACCTTAATATCTACAAATAACTTAATACACCAACTATTTTTATCAAATACATCCAATACATGTCTATCTTATTTTTCAACAATTAATTCTTAAGCCAAAAAGCTTCAATTATACCTCTATGCAAGCATAATCTAGCTAAATACTCCAAGCTTACAAGCTCAATTTGTCTGGACTCTTGCACCTACTAATATTATATTCTCTTTTCAAATTACATACTGGCCCTCTATTACATAATTATATCTTATTGATATTATAACAATACTAATGATTGCTCCACAACATTGCCAAATAACAGTCTTTATAATACACAAATCAACAACTAACTATATTAACTTACTTCTCACACTAACATTAAACACAACACTTACTTTACAAAGACACAATTTCTGGCTACTCAAACTCTTAACATAAATAATAATCATTCACAAACATCTCAAAATCAAATGTATTAATATAGAGAACCCAGATAATCATTCTTTTTACAACAGAACAGTTCATCTTTCTACTACAATACAATAATATAAACTTCATATTCAACTTCATGTCTTAGACAATACCAATTTTTATCTTATCTGAAATAGAACACCTATTGAAAATAAAACTCACTGCTTTATTTGCCATCTACAAAATGCAACTAACATTGCAAAATGGCATACTTTAAATAGAATTAACCATTGGAACACTATTCATCAAAATACCAACTAGGACCTGACATACTAATTCATTAACTACAACAACAAACCTAATACTCATGCTACCCATCCTAAGCACTTACAACTAAAAAGTTTTAAAATTAAGTTTCTACTAAATGAACTACCTACACTTTTAAATCTACACTACAGAAAACCTAAAACTTACACCAATTCATCCTATAATTGTTGCATATTACATATAGAAGATAACTTATACTGGCTTGAATGTCAGCCAAACTTCATAACCCTTAATCAGCTAGTTTAACAAACTATACACAAGTTCTGACAAAACACAAAATAGAAAACAGCAATATATCTGTTCTATTACAGCAATTTACTTTAATACAAAATACTACTCATACTTTCTTTGAATACAAGGTCTAATTTCAGATGATATATCCACAAATTGCAACATTACTTTAAGCTTACTTGTTAATCTATTTTATAAAATATCAAGTAATATATACAAGCAAATTTGAACAGAAAGATGCAAACTAGTGCATCAAAACAACTTACTAACAAATACACTTACAGTAATAGCACCTGAACATCCAGTTACAGACCAAGCAACTAAAACAAAATATGAAAAATAGGTAAATATTTTTTCTACTACAAACATATCTACTTCTTATATAGCAACACTAAACCTAGAAGAGATCTGATAGCCTACTCTAGTAGAGTTTTGAGCTGAGAATAAATTAGTCCTAGCTATAGGTCTCTATAATAATTTATGTAAAACATTTTAATTAATATAATACCAAATTGTTCAATAAAAACTGAGGTCAGGTCTTACTTTATAATAAAAAAAAAATAAATAAAAAATAAAGGTGTAATGTCACATTGAGTATCTTAAATACATAACACAAATATAATTCAGAAATCTTTAATGTAATTACTTTTATTATCTAATAAAGTTTCTACTCTGACATTTCAAAAAAAAAAAACTGATACAAGTGACCTGTATAGTTAAGAATCTTTAAATAAAAAGAGTTACCAACCTGATTACTAATTGATCTGACATTAAATTACATTATATAAAGCTTACTAAATTGATAATATAGAAGAACTTGAAAGAGCAGACAAGACATTGTTAAGGTTGTAAAAGAGATACTAGAATCATATAAATTCTACAAAAATATAGTAATTTAATGATTAATCCTGACTATAAGTATTGGTTTAGGTATAATAATACTGAGTTAACTATAAATAAAAATATAATAGACTTCAGAAGATTTATTTCAAGAATATATTAGTTCTAAGATTGAAACAATAATTTAGATATAAGAAGAAACTCTTGTAACTTAGTAAAATTAACATGAAATGCAGATTCTGAAGGTTTAAGATAAAACACAAAAGCAGTAATGTTAGGTATAGTAATTGGTTAGGAATCATTAGGCGAACCTCTCAAATAGGTAATATAGAAATATTATACATGTAAATAGTTGTACATTCTTTCTGTAGTAATTCGATATGAACATATAAGAAAAAGGATCAAATTGACATTTTTTTTCAGAATGAATTTTTGATGCTTAATTAATTTAAAATAAACTTAAGATTAATAAAATTTTATAATATAATCTTTTGAAATCTGTATTTTCTTATAAGTTAATATAGATTTTATAATATAAAAATCGATTTTTTGCAAAATTTATTTTTTGTCAATTTGGTCCCTTTTCTCAACACCTAGTCCATATTATTCAAAAGTATTAATAAAGTCAAAAGACCAAAGAAGTCAACTCAATAATTATTGCAGCTGAAGTTTGAAATTTTAATTTTTTAATACGTAATTTTTTAGAAATTTTTTAAGTGCATTTTTTTTTAGCGTTTTTTTAAATAGATAAATTAGGGTTTAAGATCGGTTTTGATAATAAAAGGGTATAAGTGGATTTTGGTAAGATCTATATTTTTAGATCGAAGTCCCTGATTTCAAGCCGCCACCGCGACAATAATTAACAATAATCTAAATAAATGTTATCTATTTAGAAAATGTTCTTAACATTGAAAATTTTTATTGTTACGATAATTTGTTAATGTTAATAGTAAAGTATTTATTTCGAGGTTTAAACCACCCCCTTGTTAAATGTTTATACGGACATTTTTATGGTGCACATTATATTTATTTGTGTAACTTTTCTATTACATATTACTGTAATAATTGCAATTGTTCCCATCATGCTGCTAATCCAATATGCACCATAAAAGTATCCGCACAATCCGACAGGGGGGGGGGAGTGGTTTAGATCGCGAAATACGGTAAAGATATAATACAATAATCTGCAATTGTTCTAATTTCACTATTGAAAAACCTTAGAGTTAAGTTTCAACATAAAATGCGCAGTCAGCATTATGTGGTTTATCCCAATCAACCATGCAACTGGATGAGCAGTTAAATTTCATTGTCAGTTATTATTAGAATTGATATAAGATGCAATTTACAAAAGGTCAAAATATCCTACTCACGCCCAACAAAATTGATGTCCACATCTACATGTCATATGGTCACATCCTGCATTTTTCTCAATTCTACTTGCACATTTTGGACATTGCTTAAGTTGACCCACATAGGATTCTGATGCACTTTCAGCATTTCGAAGTGTTGCTAACCTATGTTCATCTTGTCTTCTACGTTCTTCTTCCTCTCTTCGTCTGAGCTCTTCCTGTCGTCTATGCTCTTCTTGTCGTCTACGTTCTTCTTCCTCCTGTCGTCTATGTTCTTCTTGTCTTCTACGTTCTTCTTCCTCCTGTCGTCTATGTTCTTCTTCCTCTTCTCGTGTAAATCCTTCTTCCTGCTGTGTGCATTCTTCACATACAGTGTCAATTGGATGCCCATGCAGAACACAGGATTTCTGTCCGCATGAATTACAAATCATTATAGGAACATTGTCTTTAAGAAAAATATATATAAATAGTAATAAGTATAATTATGCTGGCAAGGAAGATGAAATGTTAGAAGCTTAATATAATCCACCTCCTTGAAAATGATCCTGCCCTGATCCGCAATTTGGATTCAAGCACCATTGAAAGGTAGGAATTTGTGATAATACAAAATTTAGTGTAAATTTTTCATATCTGCAATAATAAATTAGTGTTATTATTCGAAATGATAAATAAATACTAAATTTTATATGCTTCAATAAGTATACCGTTTAAATACATCTTCACTTGCAAATTCTCTTACATCTTTCTGATCTAATATTTCACTACATTCATCTTCTGGGCATGAAATTCTAATTTTTCCATTATCTTCAAGTTCATGCTTGATATATTCTCCTACACATTCACGACAAATTCTACGATCATGATTACACAGGTCTGTGATATTTAAAAAGGCCATGACATTAAAATTCTCGGTACATATAATGCACTCCTTTCTTTCTTCTTTTAACACAGATCCAAGATGTTCTTTACATTTTTCACATTCAGTTTCGATTAAAAGTTCATGTATAATACAAGATTTTTGTCCACATAAATTACAAATCATTATTGGAACATCATCTTTTGTTAAATAAGATAATTAATATAAATATATAATAGCATATTTAATATAATTCTGTAACATATACTAATAATACCTCCTTGATAATGATCTTGTCCTGATCTACAAGTTGGGTTTAAGCACCATTTAAAGGTAGAAATTTGGGATAGTGCAAAATTTAACATGAGTGTTTCATACCTGTGAAAATAATAAAGAATATTATTTTTAAAGAAAATAAATACTTATCAATATATATTGTCATAAATACCGTCCAAATACTCTCTCACTTGCAAATTTTTTTATATCATTCTCGTTTAATGCTTTACGACATTCATTTTCCGGGCATAAAATTTTAACATTGCTTTTATCAACTTCACTCTCGATATAATCATTGATACACATACGACATATATTATTATGAATACATTGATCAGTAATATTTAAAAGAGCATCAATATTAATAATTTCAGTGCATTTAATGCATCTATGCTCTTTTTCCTGATTTCTACTTCCCTTTTCTAGAAAGCGAACAATTAAAAAAAGAATGAAAATGGCTGGGAAAAGAACGCATGTAACACGAAAAGGAATATAAAAACAACTAAGAAGAATAAAATAAAGTAATTTAGGGAAAATATAGACTATTGGAAGAAGAACACTGACAACTAAAAGAATATTGACAAACGAAGGAAGGAAATAGGTTATTAGGAGGATAATGCAGATTATCGGAAAAAGTTTTTTGCTTTTTTCCTTTACTGAATAATTCTTATAGATAAAATCAACTAAATAATTTGATTTTGCGAATATATTGTTAAACATTATTCTATTCATGGGCATTTTTTTATTTGTAATTTTCGCTTAATTGCAAATTCGTTAATCGTTAATATAATAAGTTCCAATTATATGATAACTTGTAAGAATTATTTCTTTAAGTAAGTGTACCATGCTGATCGACTTTCTTTTTTGAAGATCTGACCGAACAAATGACGGTTGTACGACTTTAATTCTGTGCATACATAAAGCATAAACGTTAATTTTTTCTCAATTCTATGCGAAATATTTACGCACTTACGACATATATTATGTTTCGCCTAGAGGCCTTGTAAATATGTTTATTATTTTGTATATTTGTGAGTTTTAATTACAGCGTATCTTAATTTATAAAAAAAGTAGATTCTAGACTATAAAAACAGATAAATAACATTCCTGTTACTTCAACTATCTAGTCTTGCTGTATTTTTAATAATATGACAATATGTTATATGTATACAGCGCTGCAATAATCTTTCAAAAAATTTTGAGCAGAAGTCATCATTTGAACACTTAACAGGCGGAGTTAGGGATGGTAAATGTTTTAAAACGTAATCTTAAAATTTTTTGTTTGTTTTATTTAAATATGTTTAATAAATTATGACATAGGGCGTTCTCAAGCGCATTAATCAATGGGACAAAAAGCGTCAGAGAATAAATTTTACTTAGTGGAAAATATTTTAAGGAGGTCAAATGTGTTTAACATCGTAATTTATATTTAAAAAAACATCGAAATTTAATAAAGTTTATTATATTTTTATTAATTAAAAGATAATACGTGAGTTCATCATTTCAATTTATAACCATTTTATGGCAGGCCACCTTTTTTTTATCCCTGGCTTGGCAAAAATTTACAATTAATTGAGTTTTCAAAAAGATCGCACAGGCAACTGTATCAGTAACCTTATCATGCAACGACCGAATATCAATGAAATAAACGTAGTGATAACGGCATTTGATAAAATGCTAGTGAATCGCTCAAGCATCAATTGCAATTCTTATTCGGATTGATTATAGTAAATGAGCATCGTCACGTTTATTAGCTAATCACATGAGAATAATGTTTGAGCAAACTTTGATTACTTCTTAATTTTCTTATTCGTTTCATTATACGTATATAATTATAGTTGCGCACGATTAAGATCGCGAGCCTATCGCATCGAGGTTGAAGCTTGAGAACACCCATAATTATGATTCGATTGCGTAATCTATAATTATAAAGTACTGTTTTACTAACATTCAAAAATAGGAAACTTTTTCAATGTTTTATACCCATGGGAGACCAATTTTAAAAGGCAACCGTTTAAACTTTACAAAAGTTGCTGAACCGATAAACTTGGTCGAAAAACACTGCACCAAAAATATAATTATTACGAGGAAGACTATAACCAGTGTTGGTAATTTTGTCGGCCAAATAAAAATTTAGTTGGCCAAAAATGGCCAATTCGACCAAGTTTATATATTTTCAGCAAGCCAATGGCCAAAAAAATTGGGTTGGCCGATAAAATTGACAATACTGACTATAACTGATATGAAATACAAATGAAAGATTGTATTTGGCCGATAGACAAATTATATATTTAAAAATATAATAACTTTGATAAAAGTTTTTCTATCATCCCAAAGAATTCTAAACAAACTTAACTACTATAAAATTTTAGCATACCGAAATGTTTGTAAGGTTGCGCTCTAAATGAGCATGTGATAGTTCAAATGTCTATTCTGGAATCCAAAAAAATTTAATAGATTCATCAATACCGTCAATACTGTAATACGTACACTTCAATTACTAAATTCTTTATAAAATACTTAATTATAACTTTAATTTGTTTATTTAGGCAATGTTTTTAGACAAATCGAAGTGTCTTCCTCTTTAAGTGCACCATAATAGCTGGATCAACGTTTTCTTGAGATATCTTATCTTTTGCTCACTTCGACTTCGTGTAAATTTGAAATATAGAAATTCGGTTTATTGGCTGATGTAAATCAATGGGCTGGGTAACTTATTTATGCACTTTAAAGTACTTTTAAGAACGTAAAACTTTACAAGCAAAAAACGTTGCAAACATCATTTCTAGCTTCAAAAGAGCGCTACGAAATTAAATCTAAAGAAACATAATTACTAATAAAATAGGTATGGTTTTTGAAGCAGTATGAGCTTGTTAGCGATGTTAGCAATAAGAGATTTAGGTTTGACACTCTTAAATTTTTGGTTTGGTTTTTAAATTTGGGTTTATAGCTGTAGTAGGTCTAACTATTAATTGTTTGTAGGACAATTATTTGAACCCATCTACTTTGCTAAAACTTGCAAATTAGTAACTTTAATCTATTTTAAAATAATTATAAGGTAATTATAAAATACTTATATAGTGTTGGGTTCGGAAACTGAGACTCGGTCGCTCCACAATCGAAAATCTCGTGTAACGTACGATAGATAACCTTTACGAAAGAGGGTGTTAGATTTGGCTGGTGAGCGATTAAGGCTTTACCAGGAACGGAGTATGAAATACATAGGGTATGGTTTACTTAAGAGTGAAATGGTGTGTGCGATTCTTAGCATATGATTGGGTTATCCTTCATCGTGATCTTGTGTAGCACCCAGAACAATACTTTAAAAGGTAGGTACCAGGAACGAATGCCTCTGTACGCAAAGTCTTGGAATTGATTGGTCCGCGTGACTTATTCATGTTTTAGTAAAAAAAAAAACTTATAAATGAGCACGTACATCGTAAAATCAAAGATGAAATAACAAACAGTACTAAAAATAATAGTTTTGGCACAAAAATTAGTGACCCAATGTAAATTTAAAGTCCTCAATGCCAAATATTTTGTAAATTTCATTTTTTTTCATCGAATTTTTTATCGGGAAGATAAAATGATAATCACTGATCGTCAAAGACTAATAATTTGTCGATCCTTCTAAATACGTAATGTTTCGTAGATTTTAATGTTTTTTGCCGATCCTTTCTAAATACGTAGATATGTTTCGTAGATTTTAATGTTTTTTGCAGGGCCCCAGAATTTTGGTCAGATTCATCGGAATTGAGTGATGCTAACTAACCAACTAACAATAATATCACAGAAGGTTCATCACAAAACAGTATTGTGCAAGTAAGTCCCAAGAGACAGGACTGCATCAATATCTTTGTATCCAACTTGCAGAATACTTAATTGAAAAAGTAATACCAGAGTGGCTAAAACTAAAATAGTAAGTGATACAATATATGCAAAGAAGATCTGTAATAAAGAATTAATTTAATCAGAATTAGAATATTTTAAATAGGTACTCTTAAAGTACTTGACAAATATTTTCTAAGATAGTTATATATCACAACTTAGATGATAGACATTTATTCTTTTATAAGTCAAGGTTTAAATCTTTTTACAACAGCAAGCTAATAATACATCAATATATAATTGGTAATACATCTACAAAAAAATCTGAAAGAAGCATATGTGATCAAGTCACAAATCAAACCAACTATAGAAATATATCTAAAAAGGATATATAGTAATTGCAAATTGATAATTAAATCTTGATTAGTTTAATCATGCCCAACTAGGTACTAGGAGATATGTACAACTGTGTATATCAAATTGGTAACAACAAGAGTAAAAAAATCATTAGAGTCAATCAATTTAGGAGAAGGATGAGGTACTGTAAGAAGCAGATAGATGAAATGCTGTTAAGCTAAAGGTTAAAAAAAATTAGAATACAACAAAATTACTACAGCCTTACTAGCAGTTAGTAATAAGTAGCTGCGCAACATTGTCGCGCGAAACCAGGAACGGGAGAAATCTACACAGGCATTATTTCAGTCACGGGAAACGATATTCTTCATTGCGATTCATTTCTGATATAAGAAAATGACTCTTTATAAAAGAAGTTGATAGTATTTGCAATCTGAATATTGGTTTGAATTTCAGTAACTGAGCCCAAAAACCTATTAATGAAGTCAATGTCTGACTGCTATATAGTTGGTTAGCTAGCATAACTCAGTTTAGATGAATCTGACTCAAAATTCTGGGACCCCGCAAAAACATTAAAAATCCATGAAACATATCTGTATTTATAAATGATCGACAAATTCTTTTGATTAAGTCCTTGATGATCAGTGATTATCATTTTATCTGCCTGATAAAAAATTCGATGAAAAAAAATAAAAATTACCAAATATTTAGCATTGAGACCTTTAAATTTATATTGGAACACTAATTTTTGTGCCTAAAAAGCTTATTTTTACTATCATTTGTTATAGCATCTTCGATTTTACAGATGTATGTGATCATTTAGAGTTTTTTTGAAAATATTGAATGATGAATAAGTTACGTGTGCCAATCAATTCCAAGATTTTGCATACAGAGGCATTTGTTCCTAATAACTATCTTTTAAAGTATTGTTCGGGGTGCTACATAAAATCATGATGACAGATTACCCAATCATATGCTGAGAATCGTACAGACACATTAACTTGCCTGTAAACCATACACTACGTTGTACATTGTACAAACTTCATTCCTGGTATATCTTGTAGAACATTTGAACATTCTTATGTTAAATGACATTTAATTTGCTATAATCTTCCACATGACCAAGCAACCTCATAATATTTACAAGTACCCATCACCCAAATGTTTCCCAATAGAAAAATAATTCCAAACTAGATCTGAGCTAGATCCACCATGACATTTTTTTTAGACTGATTTGGAACAAGATGATTTTCTTCAGAGAAATCATGATTATTGAAATGTTGGTTAGATAGATAAGAAATCAATGTATTCATATCATAATTCTGATCTAATTCAAATTAAGAATGTTGTTCTTGGTGATTAATATTGTTACTAGTAAATTTCATTATCTTTATGTTGAAATTTTATTAAATTTTTTAAAATAAATAAAAAATTTTTTTTTTTATACTCTACAAAGTTAACAATAGGCAGGTTATGACATTTTATTAATTAGAAGCAATAAAGTTATGATATTTTATTAAGCAAACAAGTTACAATATTATAGTTACGGCAAGTTACGACATTGATCATTAGTTACGGCAAGTTACGGCATTAGAATAGGGATGGGCAATGTAATTTTTTATGTAATCGATATGTATTTTTTAGGCCTTACAAATTTTATGAATTATTACATATTATTACATAATTTTTAAGAGTAATAGATCACTTGATAAAATTGTGAGGAACGAACATGAGGACGTACCAACGTGAGCTTGTACATCATTAAGAGTGTTCAAAAAACAAAGTTAATGATTAATGACATAATTTCTCATTATTACCTATTGCAACAAAATCTTAAATAAGAATACATAAGAAATATGTAATAAATTTGCCCATCCCTACATTAGAATAAAGTTGCGGAGCTAATTTTAATTATGGCACAATAGGATCATCTGATTTTTGCCGCAACCGCAACCGTAACCGTAACTTGTTGTAACTTGCAAAATTCATTGGGACGAATTTACCTGCATCACTAATTTAATAGCTTGTTAAATGTTTAAATTATAAATATTATTACTATTACGCATTAAATTAGCACGAATAAAATGCCTTCTAAATTTAATGGCTTATTTTAAATGCTAGCAAAAATTCTTTATATTTAATTCACTAGATCAACTCAAATAGAATGGAATTAATAAATAATACGGTTAATAGCTGATTTTATATGCTTGGATTAATAAATTTTCTTTATACCACGCATTAGATTAATAATAAATACACATAAAATTTAACAGATTATTTTAGGCACTTCATTGACTAACAAAGTTCTTTAAAATTGCTCCTAAATTCATATGAGCAAATTAAATTAAATAACAGATACTCAGTAAGTTTAATAGTTTAAGTCATAAGCCTTCTTTATATCACAAACTAAATTAACACGAATCAATTGAAATTAAGTAGTAAATGTTCATGAAACTTAATAATGGTTTAATAATTCGATTAACAAATATGAAATAAATGAAAATAAAAATTGGCAGTATTCATGACTATTTTAAATATTGAAAAAATTAATGCATCTTATATTACGCACTAAATTGGTATGAACAAATGAAATTAATATGAAATTCAGTGGCATACTTTAAATCTCAAATTAAAAAAAATTTCCAGACTCAATACACTAGGTTACACAATAAGGTGATGTTAAATAGAAATGTCCATATATAATATATAATAGAAAAACTTATATGAATACGCAAATAGATGCAGTAATTCAAGATAGATTATATACAAAATGCCAATAGCATCCTGCGGCAACATTGCCAAAGGTAAAAAAAAAAAATATTAAAAAAATGAAAAATAGATGAACTGTGAATATACAGATGCTGTACGTACGTATTTAGAACCGATATAAAATAAGTAAAAGCTAGAATAAATTTTATGTATGTATCACAGGTTCAAAAAACACGATGATAGATAATAAATTTTAATTTTTTTAAATTGATGACCAGAAAAAGAATTTAACAACAACGTCCAATTTGCATGTTATTTGTCACTTTATCGAAAAGCATTTTTAATGTTAAGTTTATGCATGTGTCAATAGACAAGCTCATAAATATAGAAATCCCAAAATAAAGTCACGAGAATAAATCATTCAATCAGATGCAAAAAAAGATACATCACCTGTAAACCATATTCTACGTACTTTGTACTCCGTTCCTGGTATATAACGAGGAATCTTGAAATTCAATTTCCAGACAAGGTAATGATGTTTATTTATGAAAAAGTCTCAAAAGTTCCAAATTTCTTTATGATAAATTACGATTGAATCGTTACAGTAATTTGAAGTAAAATAAGAATAACAGTGATAGTTGGCTATGATACTTATATATGAGGAATGGGTACATAAGAATAACTATAATACGCAAGATATTATATGATTCTGAAAGCTACCTTACCTCATACATGCTTGTGTTCTAGTTCAATATCATTAAGATCTCCACCGTGACGGCATTCAATGCCCGGGGGCAAAATTTGATCAGATTATATCTGAGAATGATTTGCTGTCAAAGTGGCACAAGTACTACCGATACATGTTTTAACCTCTGATTTTCTAATATCAATACCATTCAAGTATTGCGGATTTAATGTATAAAAAGTAGATAAACAACGGATGAGCGCATGAATATTCTGATGAGTTAAGAAGATAACCAAAATTATATATATTTTTATATCCAATATGAATGAAATTTGCCTTTTTTAGGATAAGTTTTTGCGCGCGAAGGAATAACTTAATACAGCCAATGGATCGACATATATAGACATTAATATGCATACAGTAGAACATTCGTATCTATCAAAGTTGAGACAAGTGGTTGTAAAAAAATTGGCAGTGACTCAATGTTTTATTAAGATAATTCTCTTCCAACTCTTAAATAAAAAATGATAATGGTTTAATTTTACATGTGTTTTATTATTGTTTTGATATAGACTTGAAATTGAGAAATCGATGTCGTTATTTGAAATAAGACAGTCTTTAACGATAATATTTCCAGTTACTTTCATTTATGCCATAGTTAGGTTTGGTCCAATAAACCGTATTTGGTTCTTTTGCGCACTGAATGTTGACACTTTGTTAAAGCTATAAACGATATTTTATTAGTGAACTACTGCATTATTAATAAGCCAGCCAGCCATACGAATGTCAATCGGTAACATAAATTAGTTAAGCATTTTATGAATCTTGCCAAATATTAAATCAAATAAAGACAAAATCGGGTGACACTGGATTGTTTTGATGTAAATAAATCATAATCATAGAATGTATTGTTTTATGTACGTACGTACGTACATACCAGGATGTTTTGTTGCATATATTATCATTAAGCGATTCATGAAAGTTATACATTTAACAGATATGAATTAAGGTAACCCGAACTTTTTCTTTCATTGACATTAAAATAATATTAATAACTCTACAGTATAAATATGCATTCCATATGTCTATGTAAAAAAAAAAAACCCCAAAAAATAGCATAACGAAATAACACTTGAAAATGGTTGATATCCGCTATATTGCCTCCTTCTTTTTCATAGTTTTATTTGGTGGTGTGCTTTTCAGCTTTGTGCCAGTGGATTTTTCAAAGATTCCAGCACCAACTAATGCTACTCTAACGGGCTTCCAGACATGGCATGCTGAAATTCATAGTATGTAAACCCCATTTATTTTACTGTGTTTAACTATATTTAATTATATTGGATTAGTATTAATAATTTTTAAATTTTTTTTTTTTTTTTTTTTACCTTAGATTTTGATTTAGAAACATGGTATTCGATGCTCTTTTTCACGGCTGTCCTAGGAATAGTTCTTAGTATATTTATGATCGTATGGTCGGCAAAATACGAGACAATTAACTTTCTTCATATATAATGGCGAAAAAACTCCAACAACTACGTTTAATTATTTTCTTTCTGGTTATATTATCATAACCGGTATAATTGCGATTAGTATAATTATAATTGATATTGGAAAATTTTGGACAGCGCTTGGCGTGATACATAATTATTTTGAAGTTACTGTGATGATACTTTTACATAAAGGAGGAAATTTCACTTCAGACAATAATATTCTTCCATGGTCCTTCCTTTATATATTATTAGCCGAAGGAACAACCATTTTATTAAATTGGCCTTTTGATGCCTTTTGGTTTAAATTTCAAGGTAAAAATATTAATTATTTATCGTATAATGTGATTTGACTATCAATTCATTGGCTAATATCTGACGCATTTACAGGCCTTGCTATTGATTGGGCATTTATTATCCAATTTACAAGACTATACATTGCAACAAAACAAAATTATAGGGAGGGTTATGCAAGTTTACCCCAACATGTCTCTGATGATGATGGAAGAGAAAGAGAATCGGAAGAACATGATCGACCAAACCATCTTCATCATCATCAAAAAAAGGATTGTCATAGTAGTCATGTGTTATTATTACCTTTAGCTGTGTTCTTCCATATAGCGGGAAATGTTTTAAATACCGTTTTTTCGAGTGAGGGAATTGCGTATGTTGATCTTTATTGCAGTTTTATCATTAATCGTTTTTTTTTTGTTGATAAAAAATCTTATTAATTCTATACGTTTGTTTTTCTAAACAATATTTTACTATAGGAACTATTTATTTAGCTTCAGTTATGGCTTCACGTTTACTGCTTTTGCTTTCTTTGTTTATTTGGATACTCACTTGAAACCAAATAAACCGAAAAAACCCATTTTCGTACCTGATCCCTCCACTCCTGCTGTTGTTTTGGTTACCACCGCTTCATTAGCACTCTCGGCTCTGTGTCTTAGGCTTGGTTTGTTTTATATTACACATACATAGTTAAAATATATTGGCAAACAAAATTTATGCGCATAAGTTGTGCATTTGAATTTCTTTTAGATTCATAAAAACGAGTTAACCATTATCATTATTCTACATGTTTAATATTATATGTTTATACCTTTTTAAGAAATAATATTTTAGTTGTATTTACTTTGTATATTTATAAATAAAACTCATTGAATCTAAGTAAAGATTTTTAGGTTATTCCCGAAAATCATTTTTTTCCGAAACGTAACACTAACTAAATTGGTTAGTATTGCGTTAATGCAGATCATCTTTGAGATTAACTCTTTTCGGAAAATTTTTTTGGGGAATTCTAAGTATTTGACTTTAAATAAATAAATATATATGCATTTACACAAAAATCTATCCAAATAATTTCACTGATGAACCAATTATTATTTTATGCCATTTTTTATCGTTCCTTTATACCTTCATTGAAAGATCCATGTTACGCCTTTTATAGTATTGTATACATACTCTTTTTATTTCTTAATCAAGCCTTTTTACAAAAAAAAAAATAATAATATGGCGTAAGGTAAAAATAGGTGGCACAAATGAATGACAGTTCAGAAAAAAGAAAATTAACAAAGACACCATTGAAGGATTGTAAACAAAGTTAGCTATGGAATAGAAATGATCTTCAACAATAAATTAAGTATTATCCCATTGGTTCAATTTGGAGCTCATTGACACCATTTTTTTTTTGCGCTTAGGATAACGTAAACCCTAGCCTTTGATCTTTAATACGTAACATAAAGTTGATACCTAAATCTGGATTTAAGGATTAACTTCAGATTTAACTATATCCGAATTTATTGTCCAGGATACAGGTGATATTTATAAATTCATCTGATATTAGACAAAATTTCTCAAGTCACTTTACTGCATTAAGGTTAGCTTAAAAGTATTCTTTACGCAAAATTTTAAGAAAAAGTGATGTTTTTTCAAAACGAACCGGAAAGTTCTCCGATTATTACGATTTTCATCAGATGCGATTGATCAAGTGCAAATATTATACAAAATTCAATATTTAACAGTGTTGAAGTAAAGGTATATCATGCGGTATTACTAGGGATGGGCCACTGAGCATCCTGCGATAACTAGCATAATTCTGGCCAACTAATATAATTCTGGTCGGCTTGCATAATGCTGCAGGTTGCGTGGTTGATTCAAGAAATTCTCGATTTGCCCATTCCTAGGTATTACATCAAACAAAATTACCTTTCTTTATCTTATGTAAGCTAATATGGTTATTAAATATAACAGTTTTTTTAGGCCATTATCATGTATCTTCGTATAGTTCATTTATTATTTGAATGTTAAACCGGTAACACGGAACCCAGTGATATCTTCCCCCGTTAAAATTCACTTTCACGTGACAGTGTTTAAAAATCTTTAAATTCGGTTAAGTTAGGGTTAGTGTTTATAATAGAGCGCAAAAGATGGTTTCTTATACAAGTTTTTGAAAAGTAAGCGATTTTTGACATTAAAATGAGACTCGCTATTTATTGTCATATTTAAAAATCAGATCTACCAATCATAATCATGTTTGAGCCACATGACTAGGATGCTCTTTTTTGCTTGATTATGCGGAGCATTCTTGGATGTGAAAAAAATGATAGATTATGCACATATTATACGATCGCATATTCCTGGACACCTTAATTCCCAGTGATCGTCCACAAAATCCAGATTCGACGGGTTTTTAATTGGACTCGTACCCGAACCGAAATACAAAAGTCGGGTCCATGATTAGATTCGGAACTGTAATAACGAATCCAAGTCTTAGAGATGGGACACTGCGCAGGCATTTTTTGAGACTATTGTTATCCGGGGAAGTCCTTGGTTTTATTAGAATAATAACTGGCCCCTTACATCATAATAAATACATAAACGTTTCCCTTGCTACATTAACTAATCGCTAAATC